TCGGAGGTCGCATTCCGCAGATACAGGCACCCTTTCTCTTTCCTCTACCTTTATCACTTTTTTTTTCGTAGTTCCTTTATTTCAGTGCCTTGGTTCGAGAGATTTTCTTGAAACTTGTCAAATTTCTTAGATACAAACTGAACTGACTGTTCGACGGCGTTTACTTTTTCTAAGAAAGCCGGTAAGCCCTCAGGTTTCCTGTTGATCGATGCTAAAACTAAAGGTACATCGACTTCCGCGGTTCCACGCTCTTACATGTCATGCACTTCTACGACCGCTGTAATGCCTCTGACTTGGATTAGCAGAATTGTTCTTGCAAGCATGCACACTTCCCAAAATGGTACATGTAAGAACACTCATTACACTTCGCAGACTCTTCTTGCACGTACAGGTAACTGACACGATAAGGAAGTGTCGGACATGGTGCAGAGAAAGCCAACAAAGAGACATAAAACAATGCAACGAAAATTACAGATACGCCTGTTATATCACTGTGTATCAACAATGGTAACAGCGGCAGCATAAAAAACGAAAAAAAAACTTATATGACATAGGAACAACTACTAACCTGCAAGAGTAGCGTACAGAGAATAAGGCGTGTTTCCAGTGCTGCTGCCGCTGCCGAAAGTTAAACTAACACTCAAGTTAAACTAACAGCGTACAAGACGCTCATTAGACCCATCCTGGAATACGCAGCTATAGTTTGGAACCCGCACCAAGAGAACCTGATTGATGCATTGGAAAATATTGAAAACCGGGCTCTTAGGTTTATTTTTTGAAAGTATGCCAGGCGGGAGAGTGTTTCCGCGCTGCAATTGGAAGCACGTGTCGCAACTCTTGCTAGCCGACGAGAATTAGCCAGCCTAGAATTTCTTTTTCTTCTTTCAAACAACCTGGTAAATTTAAATAAGGATGATTACCCTAAAGCTCCGCACCGTCACTCCAGTAGAACTAACAATGACAAATGCATACGCCCATTCCTGTCACGTTGTAACACGTTGAAGTGATCTTTTTTTTCCGCCGCTATAGAGATGTGGAATGACCTGCCGAACGACATTGTCAGTGCACAATCACCTGAATCATTTTCATCGCTGTTAGAAATTCATTTAGAGGCATTTCAATAAATCCTGTGCTATCTTAGCTGAAAAAACAAAATGAAATAAAGGTTGAAACAGTGTATCGCGCATGTGCTCCCACATTGCTACATGTGTTTAACCGCCTGCATCTGTATATCAATGTTACCGTTGATGTTATCATGCTAAGTAGTTTTTTTCAGTGAAACACATGTGCATTGTTCATTTATCGCTTTATACTGTTATATCGTTATTTTTCTTTCCTTTTCATCTTTGCGATATGAAGTATTATTTGCTCTGTACGCCCTCTCCTGTATAAGGTACAAAAAGGCCCACAGTATTGAACAAAGAAATAAAATAAATGAATAAAATGCCGCCGCCTGAGATACCCCCCCCCCCCCCCCATATGAGGCTACAATGCACGGAGAGCGCTTGCGCAGTCAGCGTCCGTGAAAATCTCGAAGCCAGCGGAGCACAGCCGAGCCACCAGGTTTCGGCGTGATACAGTGGTAAAGGCACTCGGCGTCGGAGTATGGGTTCAAAGCGCATCGTCGAAAGAAAATGTTGCTTCCTTTATTTATGCAAAAGGCATTACTGGTCTGACTAGCCGTTCGTGGCGCTGAAATCTGCGCAGTATCTCAGCCGCAAGGCCCAACTGGAGTGTTTACGTGTGTTTCTGTATTTAGAGGCAGTGCATTGTTTTTTAAATACAAAATATTGTTGAGACCGCATGCGTTTCCTTTCTGCGGTGTCCAGTGTCTTGTTCGTGCTGTTTTCTAAGCACGTAGAGTCAACAACAAAAATTTGAAGACCCGAGTGCGTGCCAAACCACCTGTCCACGCTATCTACCGTCGACCACCATAAACAGCTCCTCTTGTTATTCATTGGCCTACTGCCACGTAGCGCATTATTAGTTCGCAGTTTTCGCGCGAAGCACTTATCCGCAGAATGACCATCACATTTCTACTTTCATAGTAAGATTAGCGCTATCACAGCGTGCCTCGAACAGCATTTCATTGGCTGGGTATGAATTTGTGGCATAGATCGCTATTGATAACAGTAGTGCTCATAAACTGCCCTCGAGGCAGAACGCAGACGCATATGCCGAAGTGTGCGTCGTGTTAAAAAATGGCAGCATATCCACGGAGTGAATGATGGAGAGTGGGGTGAAGAATTCGTCCGTCCATTCATTCCTGCATCCGTCCGTCCATGCGTCCGTCTGTGTGACCGTCCGTGCGTCCATTTGCCCGTCCGTGCGTGCGTCTGTTCGTGCGTCCGCACGTCCATCTGCGCGTCCATCCCTGCGTTCGTCCATGCATCCGCCCCTGCGTCCGCCCATGCGTCCGTCCGTCGGTGCAGCCATCCGTGAGTCCGTCCATGCATCTGTCTGTGTGTCCGTTCGTCCATCTATTCAACACTCCAAGTACCACCATCTCGCACCTTTTCATGATATATTCCCGATATGGAAGCACCACCATCCAGCGGACATTCAAAGGACTAAACGAGAGGTGGCACCCGCACGCTTTCTTACGGCTTGCTATTCGCGTCTACTTTCGATATTTGACCACCTCTACTTCGTGGTATATACTAGTTCACTGTATTCATGGTACTGCGGTCCAACGCTCACTAAACCTTTCAAAGCCCAAGGAGGTTACGCCCGGCGAGTACAACGTAGCAATTCTTTCTTCTCAGATAGTGCTCAATGTACATGCCAATGGCTGCTAATGGGGAATGAGAGACAGGAGAATGCGGCTTTTAGTTAACGCGTACGCTACGAATTTTTCATTGTTCAACAACGCACAGGAGAAATCTCCCATCGGCACCACCTTGCACGTCAGAACGTAAGACTGGTTACACACTACTACGACTACGACTACAAGGGACAAACAGGTGCCGCTATAAAGAGCTTCGCCCCTAAAATGGGAAAAGAAAGACGACAAGCACGCGCACTCAAGTACATACGGTGTGTGGCGTGGTTAGAAGAGATGGTAATTCTAGGTAGGAGTAATAACAATACTGCACGCATCATTTTAGAAGTGTATCACATTAGGAAATTTAACCTGCACAAGCGCGTTAGTACCCCATCTCTTGCCCTCCTTGATTCTAAGTTTTTGTCTGCCGAAATTCAAATTTTTTTATCTGGCACACGGTCATTTCTCGCAATGCAAATACGGAAAAACAAAATTATTAACAAAGAAGAAAGTGGTCCGCCGCGGATGGGCTCCTTCTTGTATGATTCCACTGGCTATAGCGGCTCGGCGAACCTGACCTAAGGTTGTTAGCTGGCTTCCCAGAATCCGTACAGCGAGTCGCGCCTCTATGTTTGGATTCGTTTCGTATATATGTCCTGTGCATATTTCAACTGCGCTGCTTCGCTCTACACTCGGCGACCACTTTTCATAGCAGCACAGCCAATGCTACGAAGACAAAGCACTTTTTTTTTGCTATGCCTGTGCATGTAGTTCACGACTTTTGTTTACTTTTGTTCACAAACTTTTGTTTACTGCGTTGCATAATAGAAATATAAAAAGAAAAAATGTAAATAATATGTTCAAGATTGTTCGCATTGTAATGACAAAACTTGACCTATGCAGTTTTTTTTTTTTTTGCTGTTTCTAGTTTTCTGGTTTTTTGGTGCCACTGCACCTTTTTCCTACTCCGCTAAATATATGATGGCGTCACTCGGTTGCAGCAAGTTCACATTGTTGCTTGTCAGCGGGGATATGTGCGTGTTCATTAGGTGATCTGTATTCATCGAGCATAGAGAAATGAATACAGTGGCGTGTTGTGAAGCATTTTGTTTTTCGCACATGCGATAATCGAGAAGTAGTGTTCGAGTGATACCATCAGCGAAGGTGGGATGCTAATCGCTATAACTGCCTTGAAAGTGATACCGGCTACCTGCAATTATTCAGGAACACCAGCTACTTGGAATGAGAAGTGCCATTGGAAGCTGTACGTCAAATCAATGTTCATTTTTCTAAATTACGTAACATACGTGCTCGGTATTGCGGCTTCCTACTATTGGTATTTTGATCGCGTACTGTAACACTTTAGCCATCGGTGTCTGTGAGGGGCGTGGTTCTTTGAGCTTTGCGATGACATCAATTTAGGCGAGCAATATTACCAGTGCTAACCTTCGCCTGGGTAACAGACGTGTTCATTCACACGGTAACCAGTTGACTGAGCAAACAAAGCGTTTTTGCCTGAGTAAAGATTGCGTTTCACCCACTCGGATTTACGGACGTCCGACGGCCGCAAATGGCTGATCGGTGCCAAGACTTCTGCTTCCTATCGTTGCTTTCGCGTCCCCTAAAAAAATAATGTGAGCATCTCCAGAAAGTTGTTGCGTCTTTTAAAAAAATGATGCCGACCAAGAATGCACTGTAGTGTAGGAAATATTTTCTAACTTTTGCGTTGTTTTTCTAATCGCCCAGTTCCTGCTTGGGGGTGCCCTTTTGTTTTCTCTGAAATGATATTGAACGCTTCAACGAAGCTTCATGTTGTTTTCCTTAGAAAAATTGAAGTTAACATTTTATTGATTTCCTTCCAAATAATTGTAACATTTACTGTCTGGTGCTCGTGCGAAAACATGAATGTTGGATACGCCTATGAAACCAAAACCGAAATCACACAAAATCTGATTACTTGGCGCAGTAAGACATGCGCAGAAGCTCCGCACACGTAGCTTTGGCTGTGCTGCTACAGAAAGTTGTCGTCGACTATAGAAAGCGGTAGGTTGTGTGTGTTAGTGTTCGCACATCTCCGCATCGCGGGCGTGCCTTGGGATACATCTCCTGGTACATGACGCGAATATATGGAAGTAGATTGAAGGAACTCTGCTGTACACATGCTGCTTTTCTGAAGCGATCAGGGCGTTAATGGTTCCTTGATCACGAGTGAGGCATAATATGCCGCAGGACTTACCATGTATAACGCCGAAAAGCAGGGAGATGTAGAACACGTCCGAGACGAAGAAGCACAACGCCACGGACACCGATGAGATCGCCGATGACAGCAGGATGATGTTGCGAATGGGGAAGAACTTGGACAGGAAACCAAAGGCTGGCGCTGCGTCATTCACACGTACACGGTCATCACACTCTTTCAGCACTGTCTACACTAAGCTCTAGCTCTCACCGGCGTAACTCCGGACGCGAGCAAGGAGATTTCACGTAACTGAGTTCATTTTGCTGTTCATATACAGCGATACGATACAACGGTATTTGTTGAAAACATCCTGAAAACTAAGTGTCACCTTATAGGGCGACCGCGTGGGGTGCTCCCACGTGGAAAAGCTAGACCTATAGACTAACCGCGACATTTCAGGCTCTTTGTACAGCTCAAAGTTGATGTTCCAAGCACTTGAGGGTGAGGTCCTTTTCCCAACGTAACAAGGGGTACCGCCAAAGCATGTACTCTCTGAGTTACAGTCACTAGAGATTATGTCGTGCATGAATGCGAGATTAGAATAGAAATTAGTCCGGGATAACCTTGAGTGCTATAGCCCAGAGTCTCATGCTTTTTTTGCGTGTGATGGGACTCTCTTTCCCATGCAAAATGTTTCGTTAATTAAATAAAAGTGAACAAGGCGTTTCTTGGACTGTGACACAGCTCATGCTCCCACGCGCGTCATCGAGGTTGGTGAGTGAGTTCTGGTTATGGCCGAAGTTTGCCGGGAATCAAGTGATTGTGCGCATAGTTATTGCCCTGAGCATCATGGGCCTCTTTCGCTATAGATAACGAGGCAAACATCATGCCGCTGACCCGGGTAGACTTGTGACAAAGCAACTAATGCCGCTTTAAAAAAGTCACGAACGAGATGGGGTTGCTTCCGTTGCCACTCTGGCAAAGTGATATTGTGCCGCGTCTGCGAAGCAAACATACCAGACACTATCTCTGATCTTTATCAGGAACGCTCTTGCCATCGCTCGTTGCGCTGCGGGTTATAGCTTCGCTTCGAATAGAGCTGCTAAGTAGGGTTTCATGCCTTCACTGGCATTTAAAATAATTACCGCTCATACTTTTAAAATCTACGTGGCACATCTTCGAGAATAAAGGGCAATGGCTGGTCAAGGCACCAAGCTCTGCCTTCCGTGCCTTGGGAACCGATGTTGTCAAAGCATGTGGAGAAAAGGCTCCACGTTGTAATTTTTAAATGAGCGGCACGTTATAAAGTGACGCTTAATATGTGCACAGACGTTGCACGCAGACATATGTTGAACAGTTGCAGATGTTTATAAATCCAGTTGTTTGCACTTCCGCAAAAATGCCAGCAGAAACATAAGTATTAGCTACACCAGAAGCGATAAGCTGGTGTGTTCTGAAGCACTGGCGCTCACGAGGTCCTGGACGCTGTTACATAAATCAACTTCGGCGCGCATGACAACTAACTACAAATGACATTAACCCGACGGGACGGCTCTGTCACAGGAGTACATATGCATTGTTTATAAAATTTGATGATCAGCACTGCAACCACAACTGACGTTTCACGAACATTAGCGTCTATTTGAAAAGTAGATTGGAGACCTGGTGTAGCTCTGCAGTAGAATGCTTGGTTGCCACGCAGAACGCTGGAGTTTGATTCCTGTTGGGACCCTGACATTTATTATTTGCAATCGCCGGGTCAACACTGTCGATGCCAGGCTTCTCTTAAGGCTCACGTCTTAAAACTACCCATGCGTCTTCTCACCGTCCCTGGATAGATACAGAGTGTCAGTCACTTGTGGCACATACCCGCGTATACCAGTACAGTCTAGCAGGAAGTGTTTGACGACGTACGCGACGGGATTTTGACATTATTGATGTGTTTACCTGTGTGTCATATTCGTCAAACCATCTCAACCTCTCATACTAATTTTGGTTCACGCCAAGTTGAAGGGCTGATCACGACAGCACCCAGACGTAAACGGTTAGATAGATAGATAGATAGATAGATAGATAGATAGATAGATAGATAGATAGATAGATAGATAGATAGATAGATAGATAGATAGATAGATAGATAGATAGATAGATAGATAGATAGATAGATAGATAGATAGATAGATAGATAGATAGATAGATAGATAGATAGATAGATAGTGTTGTGCAATTCATGAAATGTAATAAAAAACGTTAATAAAATCTTAAGTCTTATACCACATACACTTGTGCAATGACTGGCCCCATATTGCGAAAGTTGCAGTAAAAATTTAGTTTAAAAGCTGCCCCCCAAAAATGCGGGAAGTTTGCACTAAGTGGCACAGCAGAGCGAAGCTGGTTGATCGTCGAGACTTCAGGTCGGTTTCTGCTGTGTTGCAACTGGTCCCTGATTGCATGCGGCTGCGATGACGCCTACCACGATTGCATCGGGTAGGGCTGTTTTGGTTGTGGTTCACGTCACAAGATTTTCACATCTTCTGGAATCCACCGAAAAACAACACCACAGAAACTTGCCGATCTCGTTCATAGGCTGTACTCATTTCGCAGTCTCGAAGTGAGCGTACGAAGTGAGCCACGCTCTTGATAGGCATGTAACCACATTATTTATAGCATGTAGTTGATGATATCTCAAGCGCATCTAAAACGAAGGTGTCACTGAGATCTTTCTCGCAGTTTGCACGAATAGCTACAATACTATTCTTCAGTACATTTGTTATATGCTATGATTTACCACAATGTTCCGTAACTGTGTATATTTACTCTGCTCATGTGCATACCATGCCAAGAGCCTCTTGAATCGTAGAACTGGGTCGGTGTTTCATGCATCAGTTGACGAATTAAAACGAACACGTGCGACCAAAACTGCTGCAACGGAGACGACGTTTCGCAAATCAGTTGCATTCGCGCTGGGATTGGAGGATATTCTCAGAGCTCATACGTTCATTAAGGTCTTACAGCTACTGCAGCTGTGTTCAGCTGCGGTCTGTAAACATTTGTCTCGGCGAGCGGTGCTGGGAGGCAGCTTTTTCACCTATATACTGCGCCAGTCGTCACATCATAATAAAGGGCAGCCGCAAGCTTTTAGCTGGAACGGCTGGTGCGGGCCCAACGCACCACGACATCGTTGCAACAAACCTACGTATATCGACGGCACCTACCGTTGTTTACAAACACGAGGTAATTCTATACCATGGATTAGAAGCATATAGAAAAAAATTACTTTCAAAACAGAAAGAAAAGCATTGAGCTTCTTGGACAAATCGCTGACAACTACAGGTTGAAGAATTTGAGCAATCTTTATATTTTAAATCAATCGTTAGACTACTTACTTTGCTTCTTATTGATTACGTCCGCAGGGTAAGTAGGTGGACGAAAGTATTAGATGACACTCTTGTTGTCAACTCCTTATGGCAGGTTCCGCCACAGCGACAGAAGGAAGCAAATTTGGCGAATACGAAACTGAGATGTTCTGAGTTAGACTTCCAGGGTATGTAGAAGATGTTTAAAAGTCACGTTAGGTACTTTACTCGTTACATTTAGTAAACGTTTATGAATACGTTACTGAATCACAAAAAGTACCGAATTACCACTAACAACCTGGGAAAGTTATGAAGTGATCGAAAGCCAACTGTGAAGTCATTGGTATTCCAAAGAAAAAAAAATCTGGCGTATCCCACCCACCGGGAGAACCGATGTTATGTGAGGCCGCCAGCAAGGTGTGACATACATTCATGTAAGTCACGGCGCGCAGGTTGTGGGAATTGAGGCTGGCCCGCTGCCTTTTCGCGGGCTTTGCCGCCTTTTCTGCCATTCTCATGTCCCGACATGTCTGCTCTCCTTTGCTGTCTGCCGCTCTGGGAAGGGCGGAGTGACGTTTAACTCCCTCACCCGGTAGCGGATGTTGACCGTGGCGCCGCGCGGGGAGCCTCCCGAGAGGTTTTCGCGCGCTGCGTCGGGAGCGGTGAGTACTCTCCGGGACTGCAAACGGTGAGCCACGCTACCTTTTCCGTCCGGCGACTCCCGTCGCTCGGGGCTCGTCGGGCTTCGCCGACGGCGCCTCGCGCCCAAGGCGAACGCTCACCTTTTGTTGCCCCGCTGCGTACTCACGGCCGAAGGGCAGTACGGTGTCCTAGTGCGAGGCCTAGCTACGCCGACCCGTCTCCCTCCGAAGCCAACGCGAGCGCCTTTGCCCTCGCTCGAGCAACCGGGCCTTTGTTCCGGTGTCTCCGTGGATCACCTTTACCGCGGAGACGTGCTCGTGGCACCCTGTGTAGTACTTTGTGCCCGTGGCGTGGATAAGCCTACTTGCTTTCCCGCCGCGCCTTTTTTTGCAACGGGCTGTACTGCGTTTGGTGTTGCCACAATAAAGTGTTGCGACTTGAGCAGTATCGTGTTTCCCGCCACGGCGACGGTTAACGCGTGCCCTGCGCCTCGCTAAGACCGGACCCACGCTGGTGGCCGTAGTCCTTCGGGATACGTGTACACCGCAAGGTCCATATTTTCATGCTACCACCTACCGTATGCTATCGGTATACGGTCGCGTGATGCAATGCCAGTGTTCATGCATATCAATTTGAGCATGGCTTGTAACCAATGCCCGTCAATAATTTGTTGCCTCCTGTTCGTCATGCAGCCATGTCGCGTATTAGCAATTTTGGTGTGCATCAAGCGAGCTGAACTACCGCGAGCTCACCATGAGCGTTGTACGTAAATAATGCCATGTAATTCATCATGGTCACGCCATTCGTCATACAGTCACTTCAAGAAATACCCATTTCAGTGAATATCAAGTGATTGAACCAGTAGTGAGCGCACCATGGGCGTGTCAGGATATACATCGCATGCATGCCATTATATTCGGGCTACCACCAGTCATATATATTCGTTATACAGCCACGCCCCACAACAACATTTCTCGTGAGAACTCGAAATTATTGTAAGCAAGGCATGTAAATCATGCAAGTCATTATTTTCTTATTTCTACCTGTACTATACGTTCACCATATCGCGCAACACCATTTTTGTTGTAATAAAGCGATCGAAATGCCCACGAGCTCACCATAAACGTGGCACGTAAGTGATGGTGCACGTGACACGCATGTCATTGTATTCATGCCACCACCAGTCATAATGGTCCGTCATGC